TCTTGTTAGCATCTGACTTGCTCTCCAGAACGTTTAACGCCTTCATAGCAGCAGAATCTAATTTCATGTAACTGTCGAGGTTATATCTTCTAATTGTGTAATTTTCATAATTACTCTCATCTGCAAGTAATTCTGCATAAGAAAGAATGGACCCCAATGCTCCGGGTGCCAATTCAAACCCAGACACTAAATCTTGAATTGGTTCTTTAGTACCCTTGACAAGTCTACCCAGATCCTGCACCACATCTCTTCCTTTAAACTCAGACTTCTTTCTTTCAGTTACCATAACACCACACCTTGTCATTACCTCTTGCAGAGCTCTATACTCACAAGATTTGGTAATCTCAGCGGGAATTAGACATTCTTTGCAACCAAGAGCAACTAAAGCAGACTCTGAGTTCGTGAAATGGTTATCATCAAGAAATTCAGTCAAGCCAAACATTCTCTTAGTGAGATCAACATAAGCTAACCCGACAGTGCATTCATTGTCACGAAAGTTAGTAACAAGAGCTACAATCGCCGGAGTATCTCGCATTTCATTATTTGCAAAAAGGATGTCCTCAAAACTTCCAAGATTCCCTGGGGTTCCCGTTTTAACCAATCTCCAGTTTGAGCCACTACCCTCATACAACTCAAGAGTATGATCAGTTCTCTCCAAGAGAAGGTCACGGGTTATTGTCTCAAACATGTTTCTACTCACACTCACACTAGAGATGGCACCAGACCCACTACCGATTTGTCGTAAAGCAGTCGTGGTATGGTAATACGTCTTTGCTATGAAAGTTGCATTGTCTCCGTGAGCAGTGTAATAGTCCTTACAACAGGGAAAACACGTGTTAATATATTAGACACAAAATTTAAGTATGGAAAAAAACAAATTTGAACCGTGCTTCTGTGTCCTATTGTATGAAGGATATCAAACTGAAAACAAACATTTTGAAGTCACAAAAAGGTTTCACATGGAACACTAAATGGAGAAATCAGATATACAAAATGCAAAATTTGTACTCCGTATAAAATCAGCAACAATACACTGAAACACTCAAGAGAACGTACTCATGCAAACAAAAAAAACGGAGCAATATTTTGAACAATTAGTTAGTAGAAACATCTTCATAAACAATTCAAATACAAGTAAAATCCTAGGCTTAGAGATAAGCACTCACTCTGCGATCGAAGAAGCGAACAACCCTAGTGTCCTGCAGACAAGAGGGAGTAAATTAAGGCTTTTCCACATGAAATATACCACAAATTCATCGTAGAAGGTTAGAAACAGAGCAAATGTTTTTATACCTCGGGTAGTGTTTTGAAGAATGATAGAAATCTTTGAGCTTGTTTGGCATCTAAGGTTTTAAACACAAACAAACGACGGAAAACCCCTTTTAGATTAAATGAAAAAAAAATCGACGCTGGAAATGAAGAAACTAGGGTTTTGATTTACCGAGTTTGAGCTCTGGAAGCTTGTTCTGCTCCTCAAAATTTTCATCCATTTTTTCAGTAACAATGAAGAATTTGCTCAAAGCAAAGCAAGCCGATTAGTTTCTGTAGAATACGGAGTGTAATAATAATAGAGCAACAGGCTACCAGGCTACTGGATGCACTGTGAATTTACGGCGATGGAAAATGGCGGGATTCGGGTTGGCGGGAGATGGAAGGACTGAGGGGGAGCAAGTCTAAAGGGATCTCGAATGTTTTGGAAAAACTAAAATTAACAAGCAGAAAAATACTCAATCAATAAAATATCAAAAAAGAACTATACCGTACCAAACTGATAAAACATGGTCGGTTCGGTATTTTGAATCAAAAAGATGGTAAGTGGTATCTTTTCATACCGAAAATCTTAAACCGAGCATATATACAAATATATTATAAAAAAAATAATATTTTTTATATTTCTTCATTATATAGTAAATTAATTTTGAAAAATTGGTTCAAATGTAGATGATTACAAATAAACTTTTATTTAAATAATCATTTAGTTTGAATTTTAACTTTATATAGATGAATTCAAAAAAAATGAACAAACATTTGAATTGTTATTTTGTTATCATTCATTCTGCTTCGTTTGTGAAATACTACACTTAAATTAACCTAAATTTTATTAGCATTTCTTTCATTTAATTGTTCATTTTTAAATTTTTCATCTTTTGTGTTTTGATTGTACTTTCAATTTTTAAAATAATAAAGAGTTTGTACATTTCAAAGTATAAACTAGGTACACACACACATAATCATCTCAACATTTACCAAAATCGAACTATACAGCCATACAAAATCGATACTTCGGGATCAGGATTGATACGATGTAAAATCTCATGTCGAATTGAAATATTTGGTACGGTATCAGTACGTACCAAATACCATATCATACCGTACCAGGCTCACCCTTAATAGTATATATACATTAGTCTACACCGTAAGGACCTTTTTACAGCATCTTTTTAAAATTAAATGTCGAGAAGAAATTACCTTTAATATAAATAAAACATAGAGAAAGTAAGTGGCATTGCATACGAGTATTTCATAAATAATTTTAGTTTTGTATATTAGCATGATTGGCATTATATATGCATTTTAACTCTTATTTTAAGAATAAAAGCATAAAATTCATTTTAATGTAGTTTCTATATTTTACTTTTACTATACTCTTTTCTCATTGTCTAAAATCTAAATCGTTTAGATGCCCATGAGTAGTAAAAATGAATCAAATAATTTTGATTCAAATCATACTTTAATATCACAGTTTTGATAGAAATACAAATAAAAAAGTATTATTATTTCTGTTTGAAAAAGATCTTCTTAAATTGTTCTTTTTTTATTCGAGAAAAATCTGTTCATTATCTTTTTTTAAGGGAAATTTTTCATTATCTTTTAAAATACGGAGTATTTGAAATACCTCAACTATGGTTATTTCCTTTATTTACTTTACATCTCACTCACTACTTCATCCACTTTTTCATTATGGGGCTCACTTCGTCTCAACATTTTTTTGACACGAGTTAGGGACACAAAACTAAGAAATGAAAAATTCTATGAATGATATTGATATTAAAAATTAAGAGATATATTTACAAATCTAGCTATTAATAAAAAATAGTAACTTTAATATGTGTAATACTAATTTGAAAAAGGAGCATAATAGTTATTAGACTTAGAATATTTTTTATTGTACACAAAATATCATTAATGCTCTAATAAATAAACATGCCAATAAAAGTCCTTTTCTTTTTATATACTTGATTCTCTTTTTTTCGAAATTGGAAACTAATGCTTTAAATATTAATTTATAATAATAATGTTATTATTATTATACGTAGCTCAAATCCCTAATTTACATTTTTTATTGAGGTTGTGAATACGAAGTTCCAAGCCAAAACTTACATTTTTTTCAAGATTATGAAAAAAATAACTTTTTTTTTGTTTTTATTTTTTAAGAAAAAGTATTTGGGTATCATTTTTTTAAATTTCAAACACACATTTTTTAAATTTTTACATCACTTTAATCAGTTTTTTTATTTTTAGCGTATTCAAATTTTGAGTGAGTTTTATTTTTGAATTCTAGTATAGATAAGGCGTGTGTTATATAAAAAAGTCAATTTTATTGATTTATAATTTATTTGCCTTTTAATATACGTAGTATACATTTTAAATTTATTTAAAAAACAATTTTATATTATTTTACTTTTTAATAACATGGTATTTAAATATCATTTATTTATCCCTTTCATCAAATTTTAAGCTATATATATAGCTTAATAATTTTTTATTATCATTTAATTTATCCCTTTTAAATTAATATATCCCTTTCAAATTGATTATCCCTTTCGAATTAAATGGTATTTAAATATCATTTAATTTATCCCTTTCAAATTAATTTTTAGCTTAATAATTTGATTATCACAAATATACATATATGTTGTAAATGCAATTTGATAAAGGACATGATTATTGGCATCAAAATTACGGAGTATGTTTTAAGTAATTGGAAATCTAAAACTAAGGTATTAAGTACGAAATAAATGTGTTATGTTAACAAATTAAAAGTCTTAATTAAGTATAAGGGTCATTGTCAAAATAAAAAGTGTAAGGATGATTTAAACAAAAAATGTTTTTCAAGGACCAAAAACAAAATCACATATTTTTAAGGGATTAAATATATATTTAAACCTTAAAACTCGCTTCGTTCCATAAAATCCTTCTCCTTTCCTTTTTTTCTAATTCCTTCAAACACTTTCACTTTCTATTAAAAAACTACTTTTACCCTTACTTTTTCATACTCTACCTATCACATCATACTTTTTTACTAATATCCAAACTATCATATCTTACTTTTATCCATCACATCAAGGGCAAAATTGGAAAGTCAACCAAAATTACATTTTCCTTATTTTTGCCCAAAGTCAAAATAGGAAGAGTTTAAAGCAACAGAGGGAGTAATAAATAATAAAAAAATAATACATTAGTAAAACTAAATGATAAATCATCTAAAAACTGTTAGCCATAAATTGGCTAGTAATTATATCAAACCATACAATTAATATAATTAAATTACCAAATAAGATCTAGTATATTTTACCTGTTTTATCAGTTTATAGTCTAATCATTTCATGTTTCATAAAGTTTTATTGGATTTTTAAAATAAGTTTTTTGTTTATTAACTTACATCAATATTTAAATAAATAAAATCAAATTTTTCTCTGTGCGTAATTCCCTTTTTTCTTTTTTGAGTATGTATGCCAACTCACCTTCCATCTCATCATTAGTTGCCTAAGAAGATGACACATCAACTCTGCCACATGTCGTGCTACAGCTCTGGCAAATGTTAGATTCCTACAGCTTGGAGTCCGCTTTATATATATAAAGGATTCAACTACTTTGTGTTTTTTTAGTTTTTTGGAAGAAAGACCAAAGTAGGACTAAAACATTGAAAATATACTAAAATAGGACTTTCATGTTTTTATTCCCGAAATAGGACTTACATTACCAAACATGGTCATATACATTACCAAAAAATATACTCCCTCCGTCCCATTTTAAATTGCCTGTTTGCCTTTTTTCTCCGTCCCAAAATAAATTGCCTGTTAGTTGTTTTCGTAAACTATTAAAAATAAAATACCTAAATTACCCTTAAAATAAGTCACTCTTTTTCACCTTATCTTCTCATTCATCATTACCCCTATTAAAAAGTAATGTCAATTTTGAAAAATCAATTCTATTTTTTATTTTCCTTAAATATGCCCAAAAGTCAAAACGGGCGATTTAAATTGGGACGGAGGGAATAGTAATTTGCACATGTACACTGTCACATTACCACAATGCAAAGTCACATTACCACAATGCAAAGTTCTATTCCGGGAAAAAAAACATGAAAGTCCTATTTTGGTACTTTTCTCTATGTTTTAGTCCTATTTAGGATGATTTGTATAGTTTTTTATGCTATGAAAAAGGAAAAGAAAAAAATTAAAACTAAAAAAATGGGTTGAACTAAAAAAAAGTAAACCATAAGTATAAAAAAGGCATGGGAAAAAAGTAAGATAAAATTGAAACCGGAATAAAATAAAATAAACCCAAAAAGAAATTTTTATTAATTGACATTATTATTTTATAAAAGATCTAACTTAATTCGAATAGAAATATGTAATTATTTATAATAAAAAAATAAAAGTGTAATCATTGAAATGGTGGTGACACATTATAGGTGTGAAGTGAATGAGATGGTGAATACAGTCGGTTCTGATATGACGCTGAGTGACTGCTAATTTGAAGTGAGCAATGGTGAGTCACTACAGATAGTCTAAGTGTACAAACTACTTAATTTGGTCCATATAAGGTTGTTTGAGTCAAATTAGTCTTAATTAATATATACCCCATCCATTTGAAAAATACTTTTTCTTTCATTTTTTTTACTAACAAAATACTTTCACTTTCTGTTAAAAACTTACTTTTACCATTATTTTTTCTTACCCTACCTATTACATCGTTTCATACTTTTTCTCTAAAAAAAATTGAACAATTATAATTAAACATAATAAATGGAGACAAGAATGACATATGAATTGGGGAATTATGATCACTTTAAATGAAAGGGTATCCAATTCAATGGTAAAACTTTAATTTCTTGATATATTCTCCTTATCATCTTGATCTCATACATATCTATATCTGGCTGTTATATTGTGGATGGGGACACACATGAGTGTTGACCGCCCGGCGCTAAAGCGGAAGGCTAAGATAGAATATGGAACCTATACATACTAAAAAGATGAGCCTAATCCTTGAGTGCTCCCTAAGGCCCGGCCGGATGATCATTGAGAGGAAGCAAATTAAACTTTAATTGTAAATTGGTGGTAAGAGTGAAGTCTACACTTGGAACTTACAGAGACTCTGTGCTTAGCATAGTTGTTAAGAATCGAACTCAGGTCTTACTCTCTTAACACCCCTTGTCTTCCCAATTACGCATCACCTGGAATCTATAGATACATACTAATTTGCTAGCTTTGGTTATTCATACATGCATAGCTAGCTAGGTTAGATTAGCTGCGCTATATAAGGGCTTCACGTGCAGTCTGATCTCTTTTTAAAATGGATGCCATGGCACACACTAGACACACATTTAGTCAACAAAGATGTGCTGTGTGCCTGTACTTGAAATGATAGTAAAGATGATGATGGTGATCTGGAGGCGGCATGCACACATGCATGCTCTACCTATTTTACATAGCTGCTGCATTACCATAAATACACATGCACCTCATTCATGAAATTAAACCCTAATTGATGTTATTGGAAAAAATGAGGATTACATCAATATATATATAGAATTCGAATCAAAGTAAAATAATGATTATAGAAGTGACACACACTACTACAAAAATGTCAAATCGACTACCCCATTTGCATCAGTTTTAGAGAAAATCGATGCAAATAGGGTAATGAATTTCGCCAACCGGAAGTATATATTTGAATCAGTTATTAGCCATAACTGATTCAAAAGCTTTGAATCGATTATTGCTAATAACCGATTTAAACACCCATGGTCTTTTAAATCGGTTATTAGCAATAACCGATTCAAAAGGCTTTTGAATCGGTCATTGCTAATAACCGATTTAAAAAATTGGATAAAAATAAGTCATTGGGGTCTTATCTCTTTACGCGATTTTATTTTTCTTTGTCGCTGCCATCCCTTGCTGTCGCCATCCTCACCGTAGTCGCCTCCTTCATCGTCGCATGTTTGCCGTTGCCTCCTTCACTGTCGCGGTCTTCCCACTTCGGTTCGTCTCTCCAAACACGTCGTCCTCCAAACCTGCTATCCTTCCTCCAAGCACGCCGTCATATTCTCGCCTTGCCATCCCATCACCGATGACACCTATATATCTAACGTCGTCATCTGTCGCCGACACCACTCCAATATTCTCCAGCGCTGCTACCGCCACCACCACCTTAAATTCGCCATTCTTAGGTGTTTTTTTCCAATTTTTCACTTTAAATCTTAAATTTTACTATTATTTATTTGTATATCTTTGCATTAGTTGAACATTTGATGCTATATCATAATTTATTTTAATGTTTTTTTCTTTAAATCCTAAATTTAATTTTAGTTGTTTGTATATACTTTTATTAATAGAATATGTGATGCTATATTGTTTGTTTATTATTTTACTTGTTTGATGCTAATCAGAACATACATTGTATATTATTTGTTTGTTTGATGCTATATGATTTGAGATGCTTTTATGTAGAAATAACATATATCGATCGAACGTGTTATATGTATATTTTTATATGTGAAATGAATATTATTTTTGGTTTTGCTTATCGGTTGCCTAGCTAGTAATTCATATGATGGATCGAATTCGGATTGATAGGCCGCGAACATCACCTGAGTTTAAGTCTGGTTTGAAGGAGTTTATTCGTTTCGTAGGGAAACATTCAAAAGAGGGGAAAAATATATACTCCCTCCGTCCAAGAATAATCTTCCTACTCTACCTTTTTTCCCGTCCGAAAAAAATCTTCCTACTCTACGTTTTCATACCCTCTCTTCCAAAAATACCCATCTCATTAAATCTCACCCATTATTCCTAACTACACCCCTCCCCTCTCATTGAATGTATCGCCAACCATCCTCATTCACTCCTCCCCTCTCCCTATCTTATCCGATCACAATCTCCATATCCTCCTCAAACCCTTCACATCTTCCGATCTGAACTCTTCATTTTCTCTATCTCCAAACTCAACTGCTTCGTCTCCTAGATCTGCAATGGATTCGTACGATTTGCGCTTCAAATCCATTATCCTGGAGACACAATTTGAGGATATTGGAATTGATGATGGGGATTTCATCTCTGACAAGGTGGAGGACGAGGTCATCGTCATCGCCAGCGACGACGATGTGGCCGATGTTGCACCGGTCAGAGAGAGGAAGGACGTTGTTCTTCTTGGGAGGGAGGAGCCTAGCTTTGTTGTTCTAGACGGTGATATTGATGATGCTGATTGGTGCGAAAAAAGTGAGATTGAGCCTACTCAGGCAATAAACTCACGCATGCATCTCCACATCGATATCCTGAACATCTTGCTCCCATGTCCTGATCCACATTTTTGGGCTTCACAGTACAAGTGGGGAAGTTCCTTTCACATCCTTAAATTTTTAAATTTTCCTTGCAATTAGTCACAATTAAATGTTCCTCTGTCTGGGAAAAAGCTTCCTACTTTGACTTTTCCTCATTTTTGGTGGAAGCTTGAATTTCTGGGTATGCTTGTGTGCCTTTGAATTACTGGGTATGC